CGTACCAAGGGCGCCGCCGCTCGGCTCACCTGTTTCCAGAGCCGCGGAAGGTGCGGACCGGAGTTCACCGGGGGAAAAACAAATCTGGAGATTCCTGGCGCTCTAGTAGCTGCTGAGAGACTGATTCAACCAGGCGGAGATCCCTTTCATCAGTTTTAGCTGTCCTGGTAGGGAAAGTTTAGTGGCGTCAAGGTGATCTTAGGGATTTCTGGCCGGGGTGTTGTGCCTGGTAGCATTTGAATCCCTCACTGACGTGTAGCTGGCGCCCTCTAAATTAAAATGGGCCACCGTGATGTGATCATCAGTGATACTGTTACTAACCTCGTCATTTTTATTTATTCAACATTTACACCACACGCTGTCTTTGGAGTGTTTTTGTGTTTGTCCTTATCTTAAAATACTGCAAAAGGGCTTCTGAGAATGCTCAGACAGCTATTTTGGGAAATAAGACAAAAAGTTGAAGACAAAGTGAGGAAGGATAACTTGAGCTGACCATTTTTCTTCAATGTGGGAGTTTTGAAATTTGATGTTCGAAGATGTAGGAAGCTGTGGATGGAGGTGCGACAAGATTATTGGTACCGAATGGTAACCAGGGGATCTGGGTGCAACATCAATGTTATCCGTATGGAGAATTTAAGTTGTATTTTGTGTGGGGTGGGGAGACCTAACTACCTTTAAGAATGGGTGAACTGGATTTTCTTCATTCATAAGTTTCCAGAGGTTGAAAGTTTCCTTTTCACCATGCTTCTTCCGTCACTGCTTCTTATGCATAAATATGAGTCATGAGAAAACATCAGACAAATGCAAATGGAGAGAAAGTCAGGTAACTGGCCTGTTCTCTTTTAAAAATGTCAAGACCAGGAAAGTAAAGGTTGTTCTGTGACTAACGCGACAAGGCAACTAAATGCAGCTGGTAATCTTGAATGGGATCCAAGACCTGTTGATGACATTAATGGCCTAATCAGTGCAGTTTCAATAGAGTCTCTAAGTAAGAAGGATTAAATTAGATCCCTGTTACATTTCTGATGTAGAGATCGTTCTCTAGTCATTCAGGAGAGTGTCCTTGCTTTCAGGAAGCACACACTAAAGTATGAAGAGGTCAAAGTGTACCATCGGTTGGATCTGGAATGTTTCTGTAGGCCCATGTATTGGAAATTTGGTCCACAGTCCCTGGAACTATTGGGAGGTGTGGGCCCTTGAGAAGATGGGACCTAGTGGAAAGAAATTAGGTCACTGGGGCATTCCCTTGAATGCCAGACCTGGCCCCTTTCTGTGTTCCTGATGATGAAGTAAATAGTCCTCCTCTGCCCTGGGTTCCTGCCATGATGTACAGGCCCAAAGCAATAGGCGAACCGACTATGGACTGAGACCATGAACCCAAATCAACCTTTCCTCCCCTTTAAGTTGTTTATCTCCAGCATTTTGTCACAGCAAGGGACAACTGACAAACACAAGGACACCACCTTTTCAGCTTACTCTCCGTGAGCTCAGGAATGTTAACACTTAAATGGAGACATAAAGGAGCTCTTTGAGCTACTTTTGCAAGATTTTTTGTAATCCAACATTATTTCAAAATAAAAGGTTAATAAGGATACATTATGGTAGAATTGTTCTCCTTACTAAAAAAAGAAAATAGAAAAACTCAACTTCACTTTTCAAAAGTGTTCACTATGGGTTTCCTTTAACAATCGACTCACTGTTAGCTGTACTGAAAATATGATTTGATCTGAAAGTAGTAATTTGTGAATATATACAATAATTCAATTCAATTCAACTTTTCATCCATCCACCCAGCAATTATTAATGGCAAGCCACTTGCAAAAGAATCTTTCCTGAAATTCATCTGAAGTATAAAATGAAATACATTTTTTAAGTAAGTCCTGAATCTTTTGCCTACTTCATTATCAGACAAGGAGCTATAAGAAAGTGTGTGATAGAATTGATTGTGGTGGACCTCTTGGTCTGGGTGACGAATTGAACAGAAGAATGAAAATGAGTGGCAATGTAGTTTTAATAACTGCATTGACAGGCGAAGGAGAAAAAGATTGCTAGCGTCAGTGCCTTTGATGCATGTACATGGCAATTTATTGCGGAAAGATAATGAGCTTGGATATCAGGTGGCCCATTTCCCAGGACTGTGCACTTGTGACATTTACAGCTGATGCTCCTTTTTTTCCTCAAACCTCCATATTTTCCCTTCCTCCCATGTTAGTGCAGCCTTTTTCTGATAGCTAAGTACTGTGTTCTTTGCATTTTGACGATAAAAGAAGAGCAGATTCTGGATCAGTTTTGTATTATCTTAGGTTGTGAAAGGAAATAAATGTCCTCATAGGTACTTCAGGTAAGTGTCTTCTCAACGGGGGACTCAAAGGCCAGCATCAGTGTTCCTGGGGAACTTAACTAAAATTGGCAACAATGGTGCTCAAATTCCACCCTAGAATTATGAAGTCCAAATTTCTAGTGATGAGACCTGGAAATCCACTTTGGAACCAGATTTGTGAACCACGGCTTGTGGGGTGCTTTCTTCATGAAACGCCCAGCATTCCTATTACCACTAATTGCATCATCTCTTTTTCAGGCAAGCTGATTACAGTTGAAGTGGATTTCTTCCCTTTTCCAGCATTAGCACCTGATCTGCAGTTTTGAAAACCAAGTGACTGGGGAATGGATGTGTTTATATCATGATGCTGGGAAGATTACGTTTTGAGACTCTGAAGTCACATCGGAGTAGAATGCGTATTCACAATGTTAATAATCAGGAAATGTACATGTAATGGTGTGAATGCTATGGGAGAGAGTCGACATTAACAATAACAAAGCTTTTTAAAACCTACATCAGGCCCAAAATAAGCATAGAATGCTGTTCACACCAGAGGTTTGAACCAAGCCTCTTCACCTAGGCACCTCCTTGGACACTGTTTCAATAACTGCCCTCGTACAGTCAGAATTGTCACAAAATAGGCAACTGTTTGTGAGATGTGACTTGGAGGGTTAGACAGAACCCCTTAAATCAAAAATATCTGTTCCTCATTCCCATTTTTGCCTCCCTCCTGCTAGGTACTGGGATTCTCACAATCAATCACAGTTGGTTCCAGGTGTGTTTTGTTGGAACCATGGTAATTAGGCAGAGAATGTACTTCAACAAGAAGGCTCCTTTACTGAGTCAAAATATGCCAGTTACAGGTAGAGTACTTGCCTGGCATGTGTGAGACACAGGGTTCAATTCTCAGTACTGCATATAAATAAATAAAGATCCAATGACAAGTAAAAATATGTACATAAAAAACAATGTCAGTTACAAACTCTAATCAAACAAAAGTCTCAGTTACCTAAGACCACAGGTAGCCCCCAAAACTAAGGACACTAAAATTGGATGCATAGCATGCATGTAAAACACAACGACATTCTCTTCTTCAAGAGAACCATTTTATTTAAATATTCTTTTTGTAATTGTAGTTGGACACAATACGTTCATTTTAATGTGGTGCTGAGGATGGAACCCAGGGCCTCACATGTGCTAGACAAGCGCTCTACCACTAAGCCACAACCCCAGCCCCAGGAAAACCATATTTTAATTCATTTAAGTCCTTTTGTGGGTTTTCAAAGAACCAGTCCTCAGCTCAGAGGGTACTCTTAGCCATCTTTCAAATTCTGTGTTTGCTCACTCCACGTTGATATTTGAAGAACATAAAAATGAAATTTGTAATATAATTTGAAATCAGGAAGAGTAATGCCTCAAACTTTGTTTTTCTTTCTTAAGATTGTGCATTGACTATTCAGGATCTTCTGTGTTCTGTATAAATTTTAAAATCTTTTTTTTCTATGAGAAAAATGATACTTGCTTTTTTGATAGTGATTGCATTAAATCTGCAAATTGCTTTGAGTAGCATGGACATTTTAACATGATTCATTTTTCCAGTCCATGAATATGAGATATCTTTCCATTTATTTGTGCCTTCTTCAATTTCTATCATCAGGGTTCTATAATTTTTGGTGTACAGATACATAATTTTTGGTGTACAGTAACCTTCTTGGTTAAATTTATTTCTAAGTATATTATTATTTTTGACACTATCATAAGTCAGATTGTCTTGTTGGTTTATTTTTCAAATAGATTGTCGTTGGTGTAAAGAAATGCAATTAATTTTTTTATGTTGAGTTTTTGAGTTCTAGTATCAAAACAGTAGAGTACTGGCATAAAAACTGACATATGGACTAATGGAAGAGAATAGAAAGACCAGATAATCTATAGTCAACTAATTTTGGTAAGGGCACCAAGAAAGCACAATAGGAAAAGGAGAGTATCTTAAATAAGTGGTGTTGGGAAAACTGAATATCCACATGCAAAAAAATGAAATTGAATCTTTTTCTTACAACAGACACAAAACTCAACTCAAAATGGACTAATAACTTAAACATGAGACCTAAAAAATTATAAAACTCCTAGAGGAAAAGGTAGAAGCTTCTTGACATTGGTCTAAGCAAGGATTTTTTTTAGATCTCATATCAAAAGTAAGACTACAAAAGTAAAATTAAATAAGTGTGGACTATATCAAACTTAAAAGCCCCTGCACAGCAAAAGAATCAATAGAGTAAATGTATGATCTGTGGTATAAGAGAAAATATTGGTAAATCATATATCTGATAAGGAGCTAATGTTCAAATAGAGAAGTAACTCAATATAGCAAGAAAACAACCCAACTTAAAAGCAGACAAAGTGTCAGAGTGAAACCCATTAGTTTGTTCAATTAATATTTATTGATAGGAAAGTATATTGGGTTGTTTACAGTTTGAGCGTACTTATGAGCAAAACTACTATATACATTTGTGTACCCCCAAAAAAGAGTAATCAAAGGTTCTAAATAGATATTTTTCAAGTGTATGATGTTCAATATCATTAATTATCAGGGAAATGCAAGTTAAAATCACAATGAGTATCACCTCACTCCCCTCAGAATGGCTATTTCCAAACAACAAAAGATTGTAAGTATTGGTCAGAATGTGGAGAAAAGGGAGTCCTTGTACATTGACAGTGAGAATGTGAACTATGGAAACCAGTATGGTGATTACTCAACACTAAAAATAGAACTACTCTATGATCAAGTAATGGCTCTTATGGGTATACCCCAAGGGAATGACCCCAGTGTGTCTAACAGGTATCTGTGCTCCAATGCTTGTTGCAGTATTATCCATAATAGACTAA